TGAACTTATAGGTATACTGATAGTTTACTAATTAAATACTTGTAGTAGCATTTTTAGTACACTTTGAAGTATAGTCTCCGTAAACTAGTTTAGTAGTGTTATACTGCAAGTATACTCGTAAGTCTCACCAACTCTAATTAGTGCTAATTATCGCGATTAATCGCATCCAAAATAAAAGTTGCTTACATAATATATGTGTGTATGTATATATAAATACACACACATGCATGCATATTTTTAAGAAAAATATGTTACGTTTATATATGAAATATATTTGAATATAAATATATACATGTAAATATTTTCAAAATATATGCAGTATGTATGTGTCTTTATATATACATAATAAATATACACAGCAAACGCACATATATTATGTAAACAACTTTTATTTTGGATGCGATTAATCGCGATAATTAGCACTAAGAGTTTGACACATGAAGATGTGATACTTGTACTACACTTTTATTTTGGATGCGATTAATCACGATTAATCGTTTGACAGCACTAATTTGAACAGAACTCTATTTTTATCACGCAAACCACTCGAGTCTCTTATTTCAGACCCACAGCTATCTCTTCTGCATTTCTGTGTATCACTTGTGCATTAATGTACAGGAACCCTTTAAACTAGATCTGTTTGAATACACTGCACACTTTATAACTTCAGTCTGCCTCTCTGTTTCAGGCATAACCAGGTTCTCTTTTGAAAACAATAATATTCATTTGGTGAAGCTCGTTAGCACCTCTGGTAACAAAATCATCTGGGTCGGAGGACACAAGATCCTCTATTCCATCAGCCCAACACAAGCCTCCAAACCCCATCAGGTACAGTCATACTGATCATGTATATAATACAGTAGATCTCAGACTGTAAATGACATCTGAAGGGTTCCCAGCGGCTGATCTCTCTAGTTCATCTGCCAAGAGAAAGATGATATTTTACTTTAAATGATTATGCAATGCTTTTTCAATGCAAGACGACTGAAACATTGAAGAAAAATGTTTATTTCCTGTGTAAAGTTATGTTTATGGCTTGTGGAACATAAGCAAGCATAAAGACGTCACTTGTGTTATGATCCCTTGTTTGCACAGTGTCATTGTTTGTAATGTTTAATGTTTGCTGCACTATCCTTGTTTAGGTGAATGTGCCTCTTTGTCAGGATGAAAGCCAAGATTCAGACAACTCTGTAAGTATTAAGGTGCAGCACCTGTGATATTCACGCTTCCCACAGGATCAGGTTTTGCTGAGTGTTGTTTAAGTGTTTATTCTAAGTTTATTGAAATAACCTGTTTTACTAGTTTACATGCAAATAACCCTGAACAAGGGTTATTTACCCTTATTTACCCAACCATATTTACAAAAAAATCCAAAAATTCAGGATATTCTCTAGTAATATCATCACTATGAGTTTTTCAATTGTTATGAGAGTTGTAAAAATAATGCATAAGTTGTTAAATGTTAACGACCTAGATTATTCCAAAAATGTCTGTGGGAAACTTGTACGCACTCATATTATTCTCATGTTTGCAATTTCTATGAGCGTATGACTTCTCCTTCGGATGTGCAAGATGTGAATACACTTTTATGATTTCTTTGTCCAAGAATGTACAATATATCTCCTAAAATCATTCACAGTGAGATGCTTTCCTGTCAGATATCACATATACGCACTTCAGTAAAAATGCAGGTTAAGTTTCGATGCGTTTACATGAACACACCTTTTATTATGCATAACTGAACATTGATATAAACAGTGTTGTTTCAGGGGTTGCTGGTAGTTTGTGTCTCATTAAAGGTCACTGACTGCTGTTTAACTGTTGGTTTTCCAGCTCTGTTCACACCGGATCTCTCTGCTCAGAGAAGGCGTTGATGGAAATCTCCTGTTCATCTGTAGATCGAATGATGGAAATGCAGAGTGCTGTAACTTGGTATGTCATGTTTTTACTGCATGCATTTTAAACTCATATGTAAGTATGAAACTGAGCCGTGTCTTTTGTTCCAGAACTCCAGTTATTCTCTGATCAATTGCTTCACGTCAGAAAATTACGAGCCAGATATTAATGAGCCGTCATTACTTGTTGGTGAGTATTGCACATTTTAATGAGTATTGAAATGCATTCATGTGCATGCATGTTTGCACACATTTCTGCTGCATTTTGGTGCATGAATTAGAATTGCAAAAATAATGGCAGTTTCATTTCTTGTTGAATTTCTGTCATTTATGGGGCAGCATTCAGCATCGATATCTGCCCACTCAGAGATTCTTGATAATGACTAGCATATTGTTTGACACAAAGCTGCGCACAGGGGAGTATTATTATTTAATATTAGAGTCGGGAACATACTGGGCAGGCTGTGCTTGGTTAGGTTTCTCGAACACTCCTACTTTCCCTTCCTCTCCATTTCTGTCCGCCACTGTTCTGAATGCAACTGTTTGACTCGCAGCAGGTGATTTGAAGAAGTATTGAGGCACTGTTCTTTGGTAAAGCTGCTGTTTTTGGAGCCACATGTGCTGTAGAAATAGAGTTGAGTAAAACATTATGAAATAGTGTTTCAACATGATGTCACATTTGCATGGTTCAGGAAATTGCAGACGTGTTGAAACCCAGTACTGCTTCTGATGCTCATAATGCAGTTCATACATTTGCATGATAGCATTTATTGCTGATACTACATATAACTCATAGTTAATGTTCAACTCGTAATAGACCTGAGCTGACTGATATCATGTTACCAAACCAATATGACTTTTTCTTATGTAGAACACAAATGGAGATGTTTAGCAGAATGTTCAAGCTGCTCTATTCAATACAATGAATGTTAAATAAAAAAAAAAGACCAAAAAGCACCACTTTTTGTGTTCCTGGAAAGTCTTGCAGTATTCAGAAGGCTTAAATGGTCATTTTTGGTTTAACTACAGTTACAGAAAGTGTCTTTAGAAGCATCTAAATTCTGCACATATTCAACACAAGCGGTTTTCTGCCATGTTGTCTTTAGCTCAGTGGTTTGTTGAAGAGGAACTAGGCATTTCCGTGTGCTGATTGTCTAGAGATTGTCTCCATATATAGATCTTTACAGGCTCATGTTGACCCTTATTTAAAAGGCTTGTCTAGATAATTTGGTTAACTACTGTAATAGGAATGAACCATTATGGTTGACTAGTTGAATAGTCCTAATAATTAAAAACAACGGCTGTTTATCAGGATTTGTATTTATTTATTTTTCCATTTCCCGCACATGTTTTGAAAGCGCCGTTGACTCAGGTCTGTGCATGCCAAACCTTGAATAACTTGCTGTATTATGCATAATCATTTTTTTTTTGCATAATATGTTTAATGCATTTATTTATATAGCGCTTTTTACAATGCAGACTGTGTCTAAGCAGCTTTACAGTATTAAAAAATGGAAATAGTGTGTCGAAATAATGTGCCGTTCTCCTCTGGCCAGACGAACCAGCAGTTTAATTCTAGGTTGCAACAAGTTTACAGCTATTTGCTTGCTAACTGGGGTCAGATTTACTAAACAGGGCAAATTAGCATGAGACTGCCATAGTGCTGATGGGAGCGGAAAACTCTGCAGATGATTGACTGACAACGCTCAAATTAAAAAACACAGATACACCACTTATCCATAATGACCGACGCAATCTACCAAGAGCAGTGCAAATTAGCAACTATCACAAAATGGATTAAGACATGCTTTTTATGGGTCATTAAATAATTGCTCATACAGACTAGCACAAACATTAGTAAATTATTTAAATGCATGCATCTGAAAGGGAATCGCCTGCATATGCAATAAAGTCGGATGCGTAAAAAAGTGTCCATGGCTTTTCATCACTAATTTTTCACTGTGTGTCTTTAGTAAATCCTAGTTTTTTAAAGGCCAAAAGAGGGTTTGTGCTTGCGCAAGCTGTTAGTAAATCTGGCTCTTAGTATTTATTATATTTGTTGAATATCAGTCAGTTTTGCTAAAAAAGTTAGTCGCTTTGAAAATGTGTAGTTGGGCACATCTGTATTAGCTGAGTACAATACAGTATTGTCATGATTATTATTAGTTTTAGAAACAGGAACTTGGCTGTTCTTTCCAGCCAGTATGTGCCAAACTCTTTCCGTGACGTCAGGGTGTTTATCAGGGCACGGCTATGAGATTGTTAGGGTCTTGTCGGTGGTGCAAGTCCATATACCTCATTTTCATTCTGGTAAAAAATGAAAATCATTTCGTTTTATTACATGCTACATGTGGCGTCCTGTCTGATTTCTATATTCCGTCTTTCAGATAATATGCTGTACTTCACCAAGTCTGAGAAGGGATTGTACAGGATAAACAAGAACGACACAATTGACAACATTTGGCCTCAGACGATTCAAGCGGGTGAGAAGTTACAAATTAGATTAAATAATACTACCCACACGTTTCAATGCTAAAGTGGTTCGTTGCCACAATTTTTCACTGAAATGAGTTCATGTCATTATCAGAACGATACTGTTTTGATTCTAAACAGCGCTGTTTTTTTCTCTTTAGAGCAAACATACCTGAAGCTGATCGCTGGTAAAGGACAACACAAAGACAAAGTTTATTCCTTCTTCACAGAGAAGCACAAAAGTAAAGACGGTGAGCAGTGGATTGCACGAGTCTCTCAGAGCTGCATGGTGAGCAGAGTCTCCCCAGAAATCATGAAGTGAATTTGTCATTGTATTTCACTGCAGCCCGCATAAAGTCTTCATGTATCTGTAAAACCATCTAAGCTTTACATTTTGTTAATGGTTTAAAAATGCAGAATATGATTGCAATTAATGATGCGCCCTAACCTTACCTATTCTGATAAAGATACTGCACCCAAAAATACAATTCAATTTACTTGACTGCATTATATCATTTGAGAAATCTTGTGAAATTTCAGCCTTTTTAAAATCACAATGCAATGCAGAAACACTTGCAGATTGTTGTTCTAGTAATCATTTAACCCCCTCACGACAGTCCAAATCTGCATAACTTTCTTACGTGGAAGAACAGAAGATGTTTAGCAGAATCTTCATGCTGATTTTTACATACATTGGAGGCACACAGGAGCTTTCAGGCTCCAAAAAGCACCAAAAATATGACTCTCACCCTATGCATGCAGAATTAAACACAACACGATCTGTTTCAGAACGACAGAGGCGGATCTAAGAGTCAGCTTCAGAGCAGCTGGACGTCCATGATTTACACCCGTCTGTTCTGTGGCAGAGGATATGAATTCACTCAGATGATAGATGTGGCCACACTAGACTCAGACAACGACAGCAAAATTTATGCGCTCTTCAGAAACTATTGGTAAGACAAAAACGTCATGCTTTGTATTTCAGGCGATCAGACTTTAACAGTGTTGGGGGTAATAACGCGAGTTGCATAATCAGATTACTCTTTTAAGTAACTAGTATAGTAATGCATTACTTTTTAATTTGCGAGAAAATTACTTTTTCAAATTGTTTTCCCATGTATTGATTGTGTTGCCATGTTGAGAGAAATCGGGAGTAAGTGCAGAGGCGTTGTGTAGTAGTTCTAGACTATATATGAACAAACATTTACTCATATTCCTCAAAATGAATAAAAACAGTGAGATGCAAACTCAGAATATGACCTGCAATAATTAAATATGTTCTAATCCCATTTTATTAACCAGTGCCTTTGCTGCTGACCTACAATGATCCAATTCAACCAGACTAAGCAGCAAAAATGAGCTTAGATAAACATAACATTTGTGTTTCATTGAAGTAAAAGTCTCTTGCATCCTATTCTTAATGCAATCCAGAATGGCAGCACAGCTGAAAGGTTTGTTTGAGCTAAATCATTCCACTTTTGGTGTGAAAGGGCTTTTACATTTGCAAACTACAACTTTATAAATAAAAAACAAACAAGCAAGTTCAGGCCAGATGAGTAACCCAAAAAGTAACCCAAAAGTAGCATAACGTATTACTTTCCATAAAATGGAACACAATTAGTTACTTTTTTAGGGAGTTACGCAATATTGGATTGCATTGCATTTTTTTTTTTGAATGAACTTTCCCCAACACTGGCCTCAATAGTTGATACTAGTTCAAATGTCTGTAAATATCAATGGAACTCCAATATGTGTCTGTTTAAAATGCTCAGTCTTTTGAATTTGCCGTCACATCAGTGTAAAAGGCAAACATGACTGTCACATGATCCTGTTAAATAGGGATGTCACAGTCAGTCGAGTGTTAAAAGCTCGAGGAAACATGTGTCATTTGACATAGTTCCACAAACACGGATGAAATAAAGGGAGAATGTGCAGCTGTAGTGCTTGCGTGTGTCTCAAATGTGAAGCTCTGTGTCCGTTTACAGGAACATGAGCGCTGTGTGCGTTTATAACATGACTGAAATCAGCAGAATCTTCAGTTCCTCTGAATTCAACTCCGCCAAGGTTCCTGCGAATCACCGGCCTGGAACGGTAAACCGTCACTGAATCAATATATAATATATAGCAAATCTCAACTGAGTTGTTTCATGGCCAAATGTAACTATATTAACGCCCAGCTCTTTATATAAAGCTATATAAGTATACTCACATATGCACTATACACTCTCAGAAAAAAAGGTACAAAAGCTGTCACTGGGGCGGTACCTTTTCAAAAGGCACACCTTTGTACCTAAACAGTCCATATTGGTACCTTAAAGGTACATATAAGTACCTAAAGTGTACATATTAGTACCTAAAAGGTACAAAAGTGTACCTTTTGAAAAGGTACTGCCCCAGTGACAGCTTTTGTACCTTTTTTTCTGAGAGTGTATAGCAAAACTCAACTGCTTGATTATATGTATCACTGCAAAATTTAAACCATATTATCATTCAGTTCTAATTTTCTACAGTAAATGTGACTATAAAGTCAGGTTGCACGATTATGACAAAAATCATAATTGTTGATTATTCCCTTGAAATTGTAATTGCGATTATTAATTACGATCATCATAATTTTACATTGACCGCAACCGCATGCCATATTATTCTTAGACGAAAATAAACAAGCTGAAAACACTAACTGAAAAACTTTTATTGCTTTTCTATAGTATTAAGCCTCAAATGTGAACTATACATTGGATTGGTTTCTTCTTTAACAAAAAAGTCAAAATATGCATGCTATTATGCTATACTAAAACTAAAATTAAAACAACGGAAAAACCCTTAAGATAGCATGTAGAAAGAAAAGAACATATCTTAAGCACACATGGATTGTGAACAATTAATTGCCGCTTTGTATGATTACGTAAATGTGGCATCCGTAACTGCGATTAGAAATTTGATTAATTGTGCAGCCCTACTATAAAAGCATTAAGATAATCGTCATTACAGAGCTCAAAAGTGTCCTCCTTTCCTCAGCTGCAGAGTATTTCTCATTGGCACTGCACTAAAAACAAACAACGCCAGATGCGTCACATTACAACATCTGATTTACAGACAATTCAGTGTTGTAATAAAACAACTGTTGTGTACTTAATGTGGGTAGAAATGAACTGCTCGTCTGTAATCCAGTCAGTCTGGGGTTTTGTGTCCTTTAAAACGTCTTTCTGTCGAAAAGCACAACTAATGCTTTTAATGCCCCAGTGCTACTTGGAAAGGCACATATCATCACTCTCAGTTCTTTATGGAGATTCTGAATGACATTTTTACATCTAGAACCGACTGTTGAGCTCTGTAGTCCGAACAACAGTAATGCTTATCTTTCCCATTCGTTCTAACAAACTACTTGTGGTTCCTTTAGTGTGCTAGTGACAGTACTCGTCTAAGCAGTGAAGTGCTGGGATTTATGAAGGATCGTCCAGAGATGAAGGATTGGGTGATGCCAGAGAACGGCCCCCTGTTGTTCAAACACCGCCATTACACTCATATACAGGTGGACCGGGTTCGAGGCCACACCGTCCTGCTTCTGTCTCTAGGTACGTGAATCTGTCACCGTGAACCGTGAGGAATTTAATGATTCAGTTTAATTTAGCATTCTGCTTAATAGGGACTTTAGGCAACAGCTGCTGATGGAACAGCAATAGAGAAAGGAAGTAAATTTAGCTTAATCACAAAGTTTAATCGCAACATATAATCATTATTTATTGTAGAAGACAGTACAGCGTTTATAGTGCAACGTCACGAAGAAGTTAGTAGCGCATGCAAAATAAAACACAAGAATGCCATTGCCATTCCATTAGTCCCTATTGAGTTTCTGTTGCTTTGGAAGCATATTTATTGTGGGAAGTGCTATAGAAATAAATTTGACTTGACTTGAACACTACAGCAGATGTACTGTCAATATTGTCATTATAGAGTTCAACAGCCTCCACTAGGGCTGCACAGTATTTAAAGCTCGTTAAATAATGCAGCAAGATACAATAATCAATCATATAAAATCAATTAAACATTTACAAATTAACCATTTCATGCCATCTTTATCAGCCAATCCTTGTTTTGTTTTGTTTTTTAACACATGAATGTACAGCAATTTCCGAAATGTTCCTATGAACAAAAACTTCTGTATGAACAAAAAAATGTATTTAATGCATCCCTCTTTACAAATCATCATGTACCACAGAGTACGAGTAAATTAATGTACATTTAACCAGTTTAACGTTAATATGGAGAGGCACTGAAATGTAGAGCTTCATTGACCTACACTGTACATGACGTGAGAACAGTCTGCTATTTAGGTTTATACGTTAGCATGGGGGCACTAACTTTGACGTTAGTTTTAGCCAGAGATACCTTGCTGAAACACAAGATGACATTAACGTTCTGCTTGAGCAGTTGTGTACCACAGAGTACGAGTAAATTAATGTACATTTAACCAGTTTAACGTTAATATGGAGAGGCACTGAAATGTAGAGCTTCATTGACCTACACTGTAACTTACATGACGTGAGAACAGTCTGCTATTTAGGTTTATACGTTAGCATGGGGGCACTAACTTTGACGTTAGTTTTAGCCAGAGGTACCTTGCTGAAACACAAGATGACATTAACGTTCTGCTTGAGCAGATGAAAATTGTAACTTAATGAGAGTATGACAACAAGAAAATGAACGTTTTTGTCTTCATTGGGATTGGGGTTGAATGCTTAGGGACATTTTGCTCCGTTTTGTTTGGGTTTAGGAAATGTAATAAAATAAATTCTATTGCCCATCCTCTCAGGATAACTGGAATCAGTGTTACAAGTAGCCCAGGCACATCGTTTTTCCATTTTTGTAGCCTAAACACCATCAAACCGATACGAGCTTCAGATCCTCCAGTGTTTCTCTATGGTGCTGAAAACTAAAGATGTCCAAGTTTCGCTCACCGTGCAACTGATACTCGACTGCCATTGGCTCATCTGCATTCGAGGGGAGGGGCTTACCGTTAGGTCAATTGTGCATATGTGTCGATTATTATAAAGTGCTTCTCGTCAAACATCCTGTTTCACTCAGAGGTCAGTCACATAACAGAAGTTAAATGGGATGTAAATGCAGTTTCATGTTGATTTAAACCAGTTTTAATTCTCCTATCAGTTTCACATTTAGATGTCTAACTGCTGCAGGAAATGTAATGACTAGCAAAATGTAATAAAACATCATTGATAAAGTCAGACGACTGAGGCTGAATGAATGATAACTTTGAGAAGTGTAGCATGAGTTATCAAAGTTGCACATATATCTAATAGTTTCAAACCCTAGTGAGCTAAGTAGGTGTCATTGTTAGGCATCAGACGTGAAGGCTGTTCCAAACACTACATAGCAAAATTATGCTCGCAGAATGCATTGTAACATGCTCAGTGAAAATTATGTAATTAAAACATGATTATTTCATGCAAAAGCAACATGTAACGTAAAACTTCATGTGAATAAACTGTGTTAGTCATGCACTTTAAGTAGACCGCTTTGTGTGACGGTTAGCATTCTGTCTTACTAGGTAGTTCCATATGCAGACATATTAGTTAATGTCCTGTTGTAATATTTTCTCACAGAAAGCGGAGGGGTTCATAAAGTGCTGGAAGAGCCTGTTTTTGTGATTGCGGAGTATCTGCCATTTCCACGAGGGACGCACATCACCAGCATGCTGCTGGACGCTTCGGAGGTACGACGTAAAAATCCCTGAGCAAAATAACACCCAACTCTTCACTTCCAAACCAAAGCAGGAATGTCAGAAGTACTAGGGCCCTATGACTTGCGCGATGCAGAAAACGCGATGCACCACTTACGAAAATTAAATTTACTGTATAACACAGAATATCATGAAATTTGTCCAATTTTGGATGAATTAATCCAAAGTAGGTCAGTACAATTAAATTAAAACCCGTTATGGACTAGTGTCTGTGAATATTAAACCACAAAAAGGCTAATGAAATGTGAATCCTGCATGTTCTGAGTGTCTCTAAAAATTTAAACGTCTTCATGCAACCCATCAAAATAAACGTTAGGTTCAACTTGAAGAAATTGTGACAAATATATTACTATACTACTTCTAACAATAATAATAATATCAAAACTTTATTTTTAGAGGAATAAAACTACCATTTTGAATGATTTAACTTTAACAGTAAACCTTTGCCAAAAAAATGAAAGGTTTTGTTTAATTTTCTGATTAAAGGATAAATGAAAATAATGTTTTAACCTTCATTCGATTACCAGAATTTCTGAAAAAAAACAACAACAAAAAAAACATGTCATAGGCTTCTATTATTGTAAAGGAAAATAAATAAATAGTTTTTATGAATTCAATTAATTAGACATGCTTTTTGATGTTAACATTTCATGAAACCATTAAAATGGAATACAGAAAAAAAAAAAATGGAAGACACCGAATTTGGTAAAAAAAAAAATGGAATTTGAGAAAAATTAAAATGGAATTTGAGAAAAAATAAAATGGAATTTGAGAAAAAATAAAATGGAATTCATAGGGTCCTAAAAATGTAATTTTTGTTCAACTTTTAGTAAATTGTTGTTAAATTTGATACATTTCATGGTTGCAATTAAATAGACATGCTTTTTGAGTACTAAAATTTAAAATGGAGTCCAAAAAAAATTCAAATGGAACATGGGAAAATTTTTTTATGGATTTCATAGTGTCCTAAAATACCTAAATCAATAATAAAATGTTAAAAAGTAATGCTGCCAATCTTAAACAGTAGAGCATGCCGCTAGCAACGACATGGTCATGGGTTCAATTCCCAGGGAATGCATGATCTGATGAAATTATTATTTTGAATGCAATGCAAGTCGCTTTGAATAAAAGCTTCTGCCAGATGCAAAAATATAGATGTTATTCAGTGTGTCGGTGATCATAACTGTGAGCGCAAAGCACAGGATGTTTCACAGGGCAATCTACAGTTATAGTTGTTTTATTTTACTTTCAGTTACTCTGAATGTAGATTGATCTTCAATTTTTAAGCATATAAATCTATCATGTTATCAGCTGTTGTACTCATTATCCTGTGTTTAATTTCTCAGAGGCATCTATATGTGAGTTCCAGTAATGAGGTCGCTCAGATTGACCTACAGAGATGTCATGTGTATGGAGATGAGTGCAACGAATGCAGATTATCTCGAGACCCCTACTGCGTTTGGGATGGCTTGCACTGCACCTCTAGAGCAAAGTAAGACCTCAAAGCACACACATCTGCTTCCTTCCTGATTACACATGTATTTTAAGCAAAAGCCCAAAGACACTGATACTGAAGCTAATCATAGTTCTTAATAGACTGAAAGAGTTGTGCAGTGATTAGGGCTGAACGATTTTGGAAAATAATCTAATTGCGATTTTATTTTTACCAATACTGCGATTGCCATTTAATATGCAATTATTTTTTAAAGCTCTTTATGTTCTGTATTATTCAACAAAGACAAGCTATAAATCATTGTATAGTACGACCAACACAATATTTGACTGCACTTTTTAAACACTATCTGTTAACTTCAGACTAGTGGTTCTCAAACTTTTTTGGTCGCTCCCCCCTTTAAACCTATAAAAAAATCTAACTAAACTATAAAAAAATATTCACTAAACATTATGAAAAATTAATGCTTTTTTAATTAAAAAAACCTACAGGGAAAAAAACACCTGCATCACTTGAAACATTGAAAATTAGCATACAGAGAATAACTGTTATTATTATTATTCTCTCTGTTATTTGTTTATTTATTTATTTTTTGTGGGTTTCATGCTGTCCGCTAAGGCATAGGACACACACAGGCTTTCCTCCTCACCAACGACATTAAAGACCGTGTCTACACCCAACCCTCTACGGACACCTTGGCAATTGAATCGCCATTGGCTAGGATATTTTTTTGTTTATATATATATATATATATATATATATATATATATATATATAAAAAA